GATAAAAAAAATGCCATCATGATGAAAAAAATCTGTATACTAATTATATGGAATTACACCTGACACGCTTATTGCTTATTAACTTTTAGATTGTATCTTCATATTCCATGACAATGGTAATTTAGGTTATCAAAATGTCTTAGTGAATCATAGCATCATTTTTATTTTTTTGGGGCATAGCATAAAACTGATTCCTGTCATTAAACGTAACTGTCATATAAAAATATCTAATGCCATACACCTTTCACACGGATTTTTAGATTATAAGGAAAAAAACTATAATCTAAGAATTCATTTATTATGAATTTTACATGATGGAAACATTCTATGGTGAAAACTTAATTGCAATCACCAATTTATATTTGTTCTCCATAAATTAACAAAACATGCATGCAATTTTATTTTATAACTTTATGTACAAAATTATAATTTTATGGTTTTAAAGTACTGAATGGAAAACTACAGATTGAACAGCAAACCAATATGATTAGTATCCAGTTTTATTAATTAATGTATCAAACTACCACTTCATATGTAGTAATTCTATATACTGTCCCAATTTTGAGGTCCTGTTCGCATGTTGAACTGGTCTTAGGAGAGGATTTAAAGAAATGATAAGCAGAGCTGTGAGCACTTCAGTAGGGTTTCTTTGAAAAATTCTGCTTAGTCATCCATATTCCAGGAAATTGAAACAAATCTGTCTCATTCATGTTAGACAGAATACAGGGCCACCATTAAAATTCTTATGACCTCTTACAAATTCACTGACTGGGCCCCATGACATGCTACCAGACAGAGACAGAGACACTCCAACACAAGCTTCCAAAGAGAGATGAACATTCATAGTCACACAGACACAGATATACATTCAAGATAAACTCATAGGATACACACACATGTAAACTAACAGATACAAAACACCATTACACACAGTTACAGACAGCCACGCACATGCACACCCCAATACATACTTCAAGTCACACACAATACTAAATGCACACATTGCTAAACAAAGACGCATGATCACACTGATAAATATAAACACACTACTACACAAACTAACACACCCTACTGCACACATATACATTGCTGAACACACATCCAGCTACATACAATTTTATCACATGACAGGAGGCTTCGTATTTTGCATAATCTTTCTTTACTATCTCCATAGCAGCAAAGAAAAGAGTGACAAAACTTTTAACCAATCACAACGTAGAATAGGGTATAAGAGGTGTGACCTATGACATCATTTCCTCTTTCTTTGCTGCTCCATCACAAGTTAAGTACTAAATTTCGTGTTATCTATTCAACATACACTTATTCATTTACATGCCTTTTATTCTATCACTGTACCTTTATATATTTGCCCTATTATTGCTCTTACCCTATCTGTATACCATGGGAACTTGCCTGGCTCCCTAGGTGTCTTTCACGGCTTCCCCGCCGTCTGTACTTTCCCTCCATATCTGTTTCTACCAACGGCTTTTCTGTGCGCTCGCGCACAACCCTTTCGGTTGTTTTTCTACCGAACGCTTTATTCGGTAGTTTTTGCGCATTCGCCTGTTTGACACGAATGCCCGCGGTCTTTTCTGTGCGACCGCACATTGACTATTCGTTTCTTTCAACCGAACGCTTCGTTCGGCAGTTTGACGCGATCGCCTTTTTAGGGGTTCGCATCTATTTTCTATTCGCACGTTCGGCAGTTCGCATTGATTTTCTATTCGCACGTTCGGCAGTTTAATTATGCGAACGGCAAGCTTACAGTTTGCCGCCCGAACTGGGGGAGGTACTATCCTCCACACACTAAGCCTGTCAGTCCGGCGGCCATCTTAAAGAGATAGACACTGCCTGATTTTTTCTGCTCCAGCTAATCCTGCAAGCAATTGAAAATCCTTGACCCTTTTCACTCAGTGGGACCAGGTTAGTGCCTTACACTTGGGGTTGGTTTAGCCAGTTGGTTTGTACCTTATTCTGGCCGGGGTGAGCCCCCATTTTATGCTGCTAAACGGACCTGTTCATGCAGGTTTCCGATCACCTGGGTGAGCCCCAGTGAAACAGCCCTCTCCTCTTCCTACGACCTACCGGTCTCTAACCACAGGTTATTTAGTCCTGATACTATACCACCCCGGTCCCCAGGCCTCTCCACTAATCATGCCTAGTGCCCTCACGCAATTTATCGGGTGAGCCCCGAATCCTCATTCTTTATAATGGAGGAATCACAAACCTCAGACCTCCAGGCCATGATAACAGCAGCCGTGGCTGCAGCTATGGAACAAGCCGCTTCCAAGTCGCTCCAAACAGACTCTGAAGTCCCCAGGCCCATCTCTAAACGGGTTCATTATAAAGCGGACTCCAAAGACTCCGACTCTTCCAGGGAACACTCCCAACTGCGAAAACGCCATTGGAAGGGCAATGTAACCCCACGCAAGTCTAAAGGGAAAGCCCCTGCTGATCGCAGAAAAGCCACGGTTCGTGCTACTCACAATGCCACAAAACTTTCCTCAGGTGAGGAAGATGTAGAACCCACTCAGGCACTAGCTGTGCTGGATGAATGGCAGGCGGCAGCCTCTGACCAGGGGGACTCCGACAGGGATTCCACGGCCAACTCTGACCCTTACTTCATAAGGGAACAGGGTCTGGGTGAGCCCCAGGACTCCATGGCAACATCCATGGATAACCCACAGGAGGGCATGGAGATTTTCCTCGACAATTCGGGCCTCCAAATGTTTGACCCAAGAAACATCCGGCACCCCCGTTCGGAAGAATGGTCACCACCTGAGCATTTGGCAAGGTTTATGCACTTCTGGCTCAGAAAATCGCTGGACAAGGAAGTAAGAAACCGGATGAGATCCGAATGCCCTCGCCCTAGTCTACCAGACAAAGTGACACACACCCCCGAGTTTGACCCGCTCATGACTACATTCATGTCCCAAGGGGGTCGGGATCCACGCAAGGGCATAGATCGCGGCTTTAAAGGAGCGCAAGACAAACTGCTAGATGCCATTGGGCCACTAGCCAGAATCATGGATATGGCGGATGAAGCCTATGAGAGGGCTGACACTTTTACCCCAGATACGGTGCGTGAATGGGCACGAGATACCCGGGAATGGGCACAAAGGTGTTTGTTTCCTAGGGAACACCAACGTAGCCCTCTCTTCGGAGAGGCGCCGAGCAGCACTTTACCGTATCAACGAAAAACTGGTCGAACTGGGGGACAAGGAATTAGGACCCTTAGCACAGGGTAAATTATTTGGAGAGGCCCTCCTTAAGGAATTAAATAAAAGGGTCAACATATTCACGTCCCTTAACAAGGCACAAACTTCAATGCGGAAAGTCTTTCGCGGTTCTCACACCTGTGGTGTTTTTGGAAGGGCTGGACGGCAGAGGGGCCGTGCCGCCAGCCGTTTTTGGCCATCCGGCCCCCGTACAACAAGGACTCAGCAAATGTTCTACCCAGACTCATCTAGTCGACATAGATTCCACCAATTCAGGGGATTTGATCGTGGCCGAGGCAGCCGAGGACGCTCACGAGCAAGATTCTCCAACGGTAAGTCGGAATCTTACTCTTCCTCTAACCCCCTGTCATATCGCAGGTCGTGTTTCTCTTTTTTTTTCCAGAACTGGAAAGAACTATCTTCAGACGCGTGGATAATCCAAGTGGTGCAGGGCTATCGAATAGAGTTCGACTCGACCCCGCTCCAGCTGGCCCCTCCACATCCGATCCAGACTACATGGGCAGACGCCCGCCTCATAGACGCGGAACTCCGAGAACTTCGCTCCAAGGGTGCCATCCAACCGGCTCCGGATGCCACCGCTTTCTACAGCAATATCTTCCTGGTCAGGAAGAAAACCGGCGAATTTCGCCCCGTTATCAATCTCAGGGAGCTCAATTCTCACGTGGTATACCGATATTTCAAAATGGAAGGTATACATCTTCTCCGGGACTTGCTTCGACGCGACGACTGGTTCACTCGTCTGGACCTCAAAGACGCGTACCTTACCAGTCCGGTACACAGAAACAGCCGTCCCTACCTCCGCTTCTTCTGGCACGGGATCCCCTGGCAGTTCACCTGTCCCCGTTTGGCCTCAGCTCGGCCCCGTGGTGCTTTACCAAGATTATCAAGCCGGTAGTGGCGAAAATCATATCCCAAGGCATAAGATGCATCATCTACCTCGACGATATCCTGATCTTCGACGAGGATGCAGAGACTCTGCGGAGACACACTGAATACACACTACACCTTTTGGACTCTCTGGGTTTCGTTGTCAACCGTCCCAAGTCCGCATTGACCCCGGCTCGATCAGTTCAATTCCTCGGATTCGTAATAGACTCCACATCATGCACTCTCCACCTCCCGGCTACCAAAATTACGGCAATCCGCAGGGAGATCCGGAAAGTCCTTCGTCGGACTACCATACCCCTACGATTACTGGCACGGATCGTAGGCCTTCTCTCCGCATCCATCCAGGCCATTTTTCCCGGGCCCCTGCACTACAGGGCCATGCAACGCCTCAAGGCAAGTTTCCTTCGCAGACAACCGACATACGACCAACCGGTTCCTATGTCGGTCGAAGTTCGGGAAGAACTACACTGGTGGCTGAAATGCATGCAAGCTTGGAATGGCAGGGCCATATTCGGGAACCAGCCAGACTTCGTGCTGGAATCGGATGCCAGTCGTTCAGGCTGGGGAGCAACAGACGGAACCACGTCCACAGGAGGAGTCTGGACTTCCGAAGAGCTCTCGATGCACATAAATTGCCTGGAACTCTTGGCCGGGTCCTTCGCCATTCGCAGCCTGGCAAAGGATCGATCCAACTGCTGCATCCTACTCCGCATGGACAACGTCTCAGCGGTCAGATACATCAACCGCCTTGGAGGCACTCGTTCTCGAACACTGGCGGATCTCACGAAAGAGATCTTCGACTACTGCCTACCATGCAACATCACCTTGTTGGCAGAGCACTTACCAGGAGACTCCAATACGACGGCGGATTGGTACTCACGCCACTGGCGGGACGCCAGCGATTGGCAGCTAGACCCTCACATTTTCGCACTACTGGATGAACAGAGGGGACCTCTCTACATAGACCTTTTCGCGTCCCGCAACAATCGACAGACAGAGGTTTTCTTCAGCTGGCTCCCAGACCCGGAGAGCCTCGCAACGGACGCTTTTCTCCAACAATGGCCAAGGGACGGTGCCTACGCATTCCCTCCTTTCGCAATGATAACGAGGGTCCTTCACCGGATCCGTCTACAGGGAGTGAGAATAATTCTCATCACGCCGCTCTGGCAGAGCCAGCCATGGTATCCGGACCTTCTGGAACTTTCAATCAACGATCCCCTCCTCCTACCAGATGCCCCAACCATCCTCAGGAACCCATTGGGCCTACCTCACCCACTAGTCCTGCAGGAACGCTTGCCCCTTGTGGCCTGGACTCTTTCCGGGGTTCCTGGAGAACCGAAGAATTATCGCAGGAAACTAAGGACCTGCTATGGGATTCATGGGCACCAGGAACTAGGAGGTGCTACTTATCAGCATGGCACTCCTGGACAAGTTGGTGTGTGGGACGGGACCTCAATCCCTTTACTGCACCTACTCACTCCATCATGAATTTCCTGACTTCACTTTTCACTGCCGGAAAATCATACCGTTCCATCAATGTGGTACGGTCAGCCATATCAGCGGCTCATACTCCGACACAGGGGACTCCTGTTGGTAAGGACCCGCTCATCTGCAGACTTCTCCGCGGCATGCACCTACGGCGCCCCCCGGAACCTAAATATTCTAGACTTTGGGACGTTGGTGTGGTCCTTCAATTCTTACGAAATTGGCCTCCCAACGAGAAACTATCACTCTGCCAGCTTACCGCAAAATTCACCCTCCTGCTCTCTCTGGTTTCCTTTCGACGGGTAGCGGACGTACGCGCCTTTGACGCCAACGCGTTTACCTTCTGTCCGGCGGGTGTCACCTTTTGGATCTCACGTCGCACTAAGTCCAACTCTCACTCGGTTTTCTACCCTTTCTTCCCTTCTGACTCTCAACTCTGCGTGGTCTCAACCCTCCGTCAATACATGGAAGCCACCGCGACGTTGCGGCAGCCTTCCACTCATCAGCTTCTCATCTCTTACGTCCGCCCTTATGGTCCGGTTTCGGTTACTACACTGGCCAGATGGGTTAGATGGCTACTATCCCTTGCCGGTATTGACCAAACTTTTGGAGCACACTCCGTTCGTGGGGCAGCGGCCTCTTCCGCTTATGCGGCAGGCGCGTCCCTTTCGGACATTTTACAAGCGGCGGATTGGACCAGAGAATCTACCTTTAGGACATTCTACTTTTGCCCTCTTGATAATCCGGCGTTTGCTTTACTTTCACAGCGTTGAAATTGCAAAATACGAAGCCTCCTGTCATGTGATAAAATTGAAGATTATGCTAGCTTTAGTGTACAGATAATCTTAATTTTAATAATGACAGGAGGCGAGTATTTTCCCTCCCTGTTCTCTTTCGTTCTTCCCTCCCTTTCATTTTCACTTCTACCTGTTACTCTTTGCTCTCTCATATGTTGGTATAATACCTGACGTGGTAGCTCTTGTTTAAATGCCTTATTTACATTCGCTTATAGAGCTATATATATATATATATATTGTCTGGGTGGGATACTTATTTAACACCACTAAGGGAGGACGTTTAGTTTATTATTATCATGTTACTAGACGATATTAAAGTTGAATTACAGGACAGACATCCTTTGTTTTATACAATCACTTCTGGACTCTAACGCACCTTATACTCTCGTTTCAGCTTAACCAGAAGCTACACGGAATCATTAAAGTCTCCATACAAGATGTCGTCATCATCGCATCAGGAGATTTATCATCAGGTCTTGGTAGACCATCGTTTGACAAGGAGACGCCTTCGTCTGCATTCTACCTGTTCCGGTTCGATTTATTCTGATTCAGTTTCCAGTTTCTAACTCTATGGACTTCTCAGTTCTGTTATTTTCTACATTTATGAACTTGTGATGTCGCAATTTTTAAAGAGGAAATGATGTCATAGGTCACACCTCTTATACCCTATTCTACGTTGTGATTGGTTAAAAGTTTTGTCACTCTTTTCTTTGCTGCTATGGAGATAGTAAAGAAAGATTATGCAAAATACGAAGCCTCCTGTCATTATTAAAATTAAGATTATCTGTACACTAAAGCTAGCATAATCTTCAATTATACACACATTACTGCTACACACATACAATATAACATACAATATTAAACACACACCCATCTACACACACATGCAATTCTATATATACACACCCCCTATATATGACCTGACATTACTTATTCACAGCATTGCCTTACAGAAGAGAAGAGCTGGCTGTCAGTGAAGTTCATTAAGTGGCCCAGTTTGCTGGAGTACACAATGCGGACTGCTCTATGCGGACCCCACTGCTCTAACAGGCCCCTTATAGGTGTGGCCCTGACAACATGAAAAAGCAATTTTAAGTGTGGTTGTTATAAACTGCACAATGATCTTCTCTGGAAAACCATTCTTGTGATTTTTGAGTAATAGGTCAATTAATTATTCCAAATACATAGGAAACTCATAGAGAATCACAGGTTGCCTTACATATACGTTTTGTGTGTGAAAATGGTGGTGTAATTCAATCAGATAGCAGTGATACTGAAGTTTGATACTGAACTCTACCTTTATTGTTGAATTTACAGTTTAATCTAAATGAGAGTGCTGTGAACGTTTGGATCACTGTTCATAGGGCTATTTTTTATCATGAGTGTTCCTTTAAGTTTTCCCAAATAAATATTGTTCTGCGTTGGACATTTTTAGAAAGTGTTCACATTAAGGATTTTTTTTTTGTCATTTCTCTGCAGCATGAATTCTAGGCAGACAGTCATATCCCATTTCTGTCTGTAGGTAACAAGGCAGAACTCTCTTAATTATGTCAAGATGTTCTTTTCTGAAATATGTACGTATTGCATTCTGTGGACTACTCATTAAATGGCCCCTTTGCTTATATTTTCCTTACACACACAGACTCACATTATAAGCACCATTAATTTCTCCTGACTTACTTACTGCCGCCTAAGAACTACAGTTCAACAATCAGTTCCTTCCCATTCTTTTTGACTAAATACACCACAAGAGAGAAAAAGAAACATAAAAAATGGAAGCTTTCATCACATTTATACATGTCTCAATAAGCTTCTATCTAACACATGTAGGGCACAAGGTTGAAATCAGTGAGCTGTAACAATGCACTAAAATGCAGGAAGGACATAAAATATACTAAGTGGAGCAACATATCAGAGAAATTGATATTCAAAGCAAAGAATTGCATGTGACTGAAAGATGTTCACCTCTTTTTTTTTAAGCTATTTTAACCTTTTGTCAAACAAGAAAATATAAATAGTTCTAGATTTTTAAAAGCAGGAAGAATCCCTACTGTTTAAATAAATTTTATATATTTTTTCCATGTATTTGCAGTAGCAAGGGACAATTTTATGGTAAAAGAAAGTCCTCAGATGATTTAACAAATTAAAAATATATAGTATATTATTATTTATTGATATATATATATTTCTGGGTTCTAAAATCATACATGAAGACACTTTAGATGTATTCTGATGGTCTTATGGAGGTCTGACAGTAAATTATCAGTTGCACCCAGTTTTGGATCCCATAATTCTTTAACTAGTTAACCTATTTTTAAAATCAGTAATTTCCACCCTTCCCCGATGTGAGCTCCTGGTCCCAGTAATTAGCAGTGTTCCCAGTTATGCAGACACAATTGTATCACTTAACTTAGTATACCAACTTGTACCGTTAAATGCAATACTTTGATTTAGGAACAATAGGTGATCTACCGGTACCGTTCAAGATATTTCTTATTAAAATATATTATAACTGTTTCTATGCTGCAGTACTCTCCAAATAATGTGTTATGCTAGTCTTCATTTCACCATTCATACAAATATATGCATGGACATATTAAGCAGTTCTTGCTGTTCCCAGCAAAACAAATGTTAGTCAACCCCAAGGTCAATACTAATAGGCAGATTTACAGCCAATGGGAAAAAGAGAGCATGGTGAAATCCTATGAGCAAATTACTGTAATTTATGTCGGCAATAAAGTCAAGAAAGAAGGTCTACTACAATCATAAAGCTTTCCTCTTTTAGAACTTAGATGTTGTGAATTTGCTACATATATGTTAAAACTAGAATTTTATCTAAGAATAGAATACATTTTAAAATCTTTACAAATTTGAACAAATATTTTTTGGGGAGGGATGTTGGTGCAATATATTTGTTAAAATTTTAATGATGGTGATGACGATGCTCTTTAGATGATCATGCAATATTGAGAAAGATAATGAGAAAAAGAAGGGCAAACCTACTCATGAATTGGTAGATATTGCCCAGATAGTACTCTGTAATGATGGATAAATTAGCGTGTTTTGTTTTACTATAATATTACAGAAAAAAGGGTGCGCTATGT